TTAGGGTAAGATCTTAGTTTGGCTGAATTCTACCAGTGATTTTCTATTTTCTGATGCTTGATGAGAATAATATGTAGAGTTTGACAACTCATAGATGGTAGCACATTATGGGACTGCAGCCTTTGACACTTGGCTTCTGAAAATAACCTTAGCTTAATCAAAGTAACTTGCATGTGAACTGGAGGCTGTCTTTTATAAACTACTGGAGTATGTGATGATGTGTAATGCATTTAGCAATAAACATGTTTAAATGAATATATGAATTTGATTTCAAACATGTGTACATACATTACATAAAGTCATTTATGAGAGTTGAATAAAAAACGGATCAATTACACAAATAACACAACTATTAACCTCTCTTGCTATGGGAAGGTCAAAATGCACATGTCACGACCTTTTACAGAATTACATTCAAAATTTAATTAAACTACTTCATTATCAATGTTTATCAATAAACATGGCATTAAAATATAGTTTACAATTAAAATTTTAATATAAGTTTTGATTTCTTAATTTTAAAAGATATATATATATATATATAAATGCTCAAGATTCACTTTCTATATAGCATGATACTTTTTCAGTCCAAACTGCTCATTTCTAGATTTTCTGCTACTCCTATTTGGCTTTGTAATATTTCGTGGAATTTCTTAGTTGTACTACACATATCCCCAAGCTTATCTGCCAAATTGTAGCAAGAAAGCCTTTTGCTTTATGGAGATATAAGGAATAAAGTAAAGGTCACTTGCCATGCTTCCCACAGAGCATCCTACTTTCAAAATTTGTTATAAATTCTCCCTGACCTTTGGTATTGTATTATTTGTAACCAAAAAAAGCGAACGATTTAAATTAACTGACAGCTATAGGGTCTAAAGTCATTAAACTAAGCAGATGAGAACTAGCTTTATTGATATTTTTGTATGCTAGTATTGTATCTGATCCTGACCAAGTATGGAAATTATTTTAAGTCATTTTTATCATAATTATAAAGTCAAATGAATTATATAAGCTTTAGGATTTTTTCATATGCATGGAAATATTTAGTATTATAGATTGAATGATTAAATTAAAAAATCAATTTCTGAGACCACATTATCATTACATTGAACTAGGGTTAAATTTTTATGTTGACTTGAATTGTATAAGTGCAAAATACTGAAGAACGCTAGAAATCAGAAAAAAGTACTAAATTTCTTATTCTTTATCTATATTTATTATTTACTGCCATGAAATTAACTAAAATGTAAAAATTAGAAACTTATCTTAAGTAATTTTAAAGAAAATAAATGAACAAAATACTCGTAATCAATAACAGCATGCACCAAGCTCGATCACAGTTGCTTAATTCAACATAAGTGTGCTAGTAAGTTGATCCATGGTTCACACACAGCTGTCTGGCATAATAAATATCTATCACTGTAGTTGAGAGGATCAGAGTTCAACTATAAATTTAAAAAATAATGAAAAAATCTAGACTGTAAAAGAAATATTGTGTAATTGTCTGTTACAGTGTGCAAATATTTTAGAATGAATAAAGAATAATTTAGATTTATTTTGTATTCTTTGTGGGGGGTTACAAAGTTGGTCAAATTGACTGAGTTTGTATAGAGTTAGGGTAGAGAAAATAACAGATATAATACGAAGTTTTACTGGAAAAATGTTTTATGTTCATTTAGAAGGTTTTAGATGTTACACAAATAAAATTTGAAAATATTAAGACAAATAAAGTGTTTTTAATTTTAACATGGAAATCACCTTGCACTCGGACAAGTCAAAAGTCTTGGCTGTATATATTCACAAACATATACTTAGTAAAAATACTGAATTAAGAAATTTGACTTTTATGTTAAAAAGACTTGCAATATTTACTAAAAGCTTGCCAGATTTCACGAAGAGATACGTGTAAAATAAAAAGTTTTAGTATGGATAGTTGCATGGTTACCTGGTGATTATAGAATCAGTCAAACTAACCAAGCCCATATGGAAAGAGATAAGCAACATATGAATGGAAAAACAAAGGACTTGATCTCGTTGTTAACATCTTGTATTTTGAGGCTAACTGTGTTTAATGACCTATAAGGTATTATTTGAAGGTAAAGTGTGCCTGTTATCTTTATTTATTCTTAAGAAAGAATGTCTCAATTTTGACATTAAAATGTTTGGCAGGTAGTAAACTTTCGTGGAAGGAAAACAGTAACAAAGAAACTCACACTACATCTTAGAAAAATTACATTTTTACCTGACGTTTTCCAGTTAGAGTAGTGTAAGATATTAGTATTGGATCGAATTGAAATATTTATCACTGATTGAAATTATTAGTAATAAGTGAGCTTCATGGACAGTAGTATAGATATCATGTCAAATATCCATTTTGTGTACCTAGTGTTTTATTTTGTTGCAATGAGAACACTTTCAATCATGCAGATTGGAATATCTAATAAACACACAGCTGTAATGAATATTTTCTTAACCTTGTTTCAGTAGTAAAGATGCATGAATATGCAGGCTGTAAGTGTACTGCTAGAAGAAGAAAGTAACACTCGCATCGAGAAACTTTCTAAATCACACGTAACTAGTACTAAACTTGAAGAAAGTTTTCAGGGAGAGACGATGTAAGTGTTAGTAGATTCTGAGTATCAGAAGTAGAGTTTGGTCCTTGTACAGCAACTAATATAACTCAGGTTATGTGTTTAGGAACAAGATTTGCACTCTCAATCCCATTTCTTTCATTCATTTTCTATTAGATCTGAGGTTTGTTTATGTAACAACCAGATGGCGTACAGCTGGATTGGAATGTAAGCTGTGTTGACTGTTGTTACGAGAATAGCAATAGAAAGTAGTACAGATATGGGTATTAGGGAAACCAAGAAATTCACAGGTTTTAGAGATACATTTTCTATGGGTGAAATTGTCATAAGCACACATGAAATATGAAGAAATGACACTTGAACAAGGTTATCATTTTAACATACTACCTTTAATTGTAGTTTTAGAAAAGCGTATAGTTATAACCGGGACGCTACGGCTCTCTTTACAACCAAAACATCTGGCTAACGTGCTAACCAATCACGATTTTTCTGACATTACATCTTCAAGCTGACCCTTCAGTCTGTCTTGTTCTCCAATCAATCAGAGTGTTCCATTCTTCAGTGATCACTTCAACCTCCAATAATTTTTCCAGATGCCATGAAAGGAAGTTACGATGTACATTAATACACTCAGGATTTCCTGTTCTGCAAGGAATTCGATTTATCCGCCAATCTAGATGCTCTTAGAGCCTAATCTTTTACTCAGTAGAACCAATGGATGAAGATGCATTGCAGGCCAATGCAACTGGTGTTATGGATCTAACTGAGCCGATTATAGGGCTGTCTTTGCTAAACACCACGGGAATGAATAAAGAATGTAGTGTTAAAAAATATAATATGCCTAATGACGTGTTAAAATATAATTAATGAAAAAACTATTATTTAACTCTAAAATTAGATTTAACGCTAACCTATCATTTTAGTTTAAAAAAGTGTTAATTTTTGAGCAGGATAGATAATTCAAACGCTATTCAAGGTCTGCCAAGAAATCTTAACAAAAACAGTCTATAAACGCGAAGAACATATAAACAGCAATACTTATATTAAAAAATGTTTTATGCATTATAACAAACAATATTAATAGACCTGTTTAAACTTCAAAGAAAAATGGAGGATGACATTATTTGCAAAAATAGTTGTCTGCTCTTATGTCGATAGAGCTTATCTGTTACGAACCGTTTTGTTTTGTTATGATTTCGCGCAAAGCTACACGAGGGCTATCTGTGCTAGCCGTCTCTAATTTAGCAGTGTAAGACAAGAGGGAAGGCAGGTAGTCATCAACACACACCTCCAACTGTTGGGCTAATCTTTTACCTACGAATAGTGGGATTGACCATCACTTTATAACGCCCCCACGGTTGAAAGGGCGAGCATGTTTGGTGTGACGGGGATTCGAACCCGCGACCCGCAGATTGCAAGTCGAGCGCCCTAACCACCTAGCCATGCCGGGCCCTATTACGAAATATTGATATTCTTAGTAGCGTTAATGTATTTCCAGTAGCGCACATATAACAGCAAGAATTGATGAGAAATACACAAAAGGCCAAAAACTATCAGTAATAAATACTAGAAATATGAAATTTAGAATGAAAATTAATAATTTCAATACTTACTTACTTGCAATTTTGTACATAATAAACAAGAATTGTCTAAAGGAATCGAAAAACATTTGAAGTTATGTTTCTCCAAATATTTTGATTTGTTTGAGCTCGAAGCTACACAATAGGTTATCTTCATTCTCATTTCTACAGGGAATCTAACCCTAGATTTTAGCGTTGTAAGCCCATAAACTTACTGGTGACCCACTGGGGGACAAATTCGTATATTTATAAGCACTTTTACAAGATTTAAAAGTTTCAATACCTAGTCAGATAAAAAACACAAAGATGCAATAATGGAAACTTGTGATAAATAAAAGAATCTGTTATTAAAAGTACGTTACCCGATGATCATCAGTAGGTACGAACTTACAACGCTAAAATCCAGAGTTAGATTACCCGCAGTGGACAGACTATAGTAGCTTTGCGCGAAATTACAAAACCAAACCATCCTATGTTAGTTTTGCTTTTGCGAGTAAAGTCCTTTTGTTGCTTGCAAATAACTTAAAATTCTGATAATTTTAACTTTTAAAATTCCAAATAATAAAACGTCTTTATAAGTCTGATATTTGTTTTAATTTTGAGAAATTTAGCTCTATATTATCTTAATCATATTTTATAAAATATTTAAACAATAAAAGGTATTAATAGCTTGCCAAATATGGCACACTTCATAATTTATATATAGAACACTCAGCTTTATGGTATTATTATTATTATTTAATAACAATATCGTTTCAAAGTTCTGAAATAATATTTTTTTTTTCAAGGGCGAGCCTCTTTGATAATGAAGACTATTGCCATTAAGAAAATGACGAAGACAACAATCCTAGGCGTTACTATTATCTTGTGTACACTGCTGCTTATCAACCGCACCAGTGAGTTTAAATATGTTTGGAAAAATAACTATACATTTGTTCATTCGAATGGTATGTTTCCAGTGAGAGAGATTTTACTTTATGATATTGAAAGAAAAATGTCCCCAGAATCAAAACCCGATAACGAGTACAGAATGAGAAATGGACATTTGAAGATTAATCCTGAAACAACGAAAAATAGTCCAAGTTCTTGGGTGGACAACTGGATAGAGGTTACTTCTAATTTACATATTTACTCAGCTTATTTAGACAATCGCCCTTTGGTTCCACATCATCCAGTTATACGAATATTTGGGTGGTCCACATTAGAAGTTACAAAACTTCAAAATATGAGATGCTTAACCAAAGTCAAATATTTGGGTCAACAAGCAGATCTACGAATATTCCCAGTTACGAAGGTAGTTAAAATAGGATTAACGTCCAAAAGCTTTCTTTGTTCCATCCCCTTTGGCTATCACAAAAAAATACTTTCAGTATCATTGTCATTTTCGAGTTTTCAAAACTCGAAATGGATTAATGTTCACCATATACCAAATTCAATGAAGCCTGAAGCTCAAGGAAGAATTGCAGTCTGCACTCCTCCATTTTATAACTATATAAACGACACCTACTTGCTGGCACAATTTCTGGCCTTTCATCATGTTGTTGGGATCGATCACTTCACCTTTTATGACTTCCAAACAAACCAAAAAATACGCGACCTGATTCATAGGTTATCTGAGAATGGATTCCCTATTGTTCTCTTGCCGTGGAGTGCTTTCTGGAAAGTTTCAATTCCTTTAAGTCACTATCGAGAAGGAGGACATGCACATTTAACTCAAATTCAGGACTGCCTTTATCGACATATGCATCATTATGAATATGTTATTGATCTTGACATGGATGAATTTCTTGTTCCTTATGAAAACAAAACAATAACCCAAATATTATCTAACTTTAGTAGCTGCACTGTTTGCGGTGCTTACAGATTCAGACAGTCTATTTTTTGTTTGAAGTTTCCATCTATGACAGATGCGCATAATGATTTTCAGTCACTCATGACACTTGAGAAGGTATTTGGAAAACCACTTGGCTTAAAGAACTGGCCAGATTACTTGAAATATATTGTTCGTCCAGAAACCGTTGTTTATGGCGGCATTCATAAAGTTTGGGAAATGCTGCCCAATAAAAGTGAAATAAATGTTGACAGAGGCATTCTAATTCATCATTACAGAAACATTGTGGTTTGTAACTTTGAGAAAGAGAAAAATCAGTTGATTGAAGATCATACAATTCCAGAACTTTATGGAAAACAGATGCTACAACTAATGCATAAGTGGAAAAATATTTTATAAGTACAAAATATCATGCTTTAGTTAAAATATAGTTAGGAAACGAAGAATAATATACGCACGGAATTTCTTTCTATAAACATTGAAAATGTTTATCTTTGTGATTCGCTTCTCAGACTTTCATTTCAGAGTTTTGCAATCAAATAAACAATTATAAATTATTGTACTGAGCAGTAAGCATCGTTGTTTGCGTACTTTTTAATATTCTATATATATATACATTTAGTAAGAATCACACAAATATTGAACGTAGTCACCAATATGACAATAAAGAAGGGCTTAATAAACAATTACTATGATACCTTTGCACTGATATTATTATCACATTAACTATAGCGTTTATTTCTACTGACGGAAAGACTGAGATACATAAGGCTTGATTTTCTTAGTATAAACCTGATTAAATGAGTAATTAAACTTAAATATTACTGTGTGCAGTTAGTGACTCTTAGATCATAACATGACTCAAAATAGAATAAATAGTAAATCTGCAAAACTGCTTCACGCAGTTGAAAGCTTCACCGTCAACCAACTAATGGTAATGTATTGTTGATATATATATTGCTCATCATAACTACATATATGCACAAAAACGATAGAGAATATTTTTAATAATTTAAACCACAGACAGTGAGCAGTTAAAATAACGAAAGAAGTTTTTAGGTAAATTTTAAACAATAAACCAACGATTAGATACATCATCGGAGTAATAATTTTTAAAGTTCAATTCAGCTCAGTCCAATTCTATTCACTTACTAGATAATACACTATCCTGGAAATAAGTACCGAATTTGTCAAAGCTATAATTATTATCTCTGTGATTTAACTTGTTTTACCAACTGTTCTATTCCTTTAACAAAAACACATTAAAGTTGCTTTGCTTAGATAATCTGTTATTGTAACATTATTAACAATTACATCACCAATAGATTGTTTTATTGATGATTTATTCAATAATTAAATTATTAATGCTGTTCCATTTACTTTTTTATCAATCTGTAAAAGTAACATACCATCATAATAAGTTTTCTTCATATTTTTAATATGAGATGATAAGTTATTTCTAAATACACTATTTCCATTTCTATCATCATTATTACGAGGTAATTTAACTTTAACAAATATATTGTTTATATAATTGTTTGCCTAAAGTTTATTTTATAAGAGTTCTAATATTTTTTTTGTAAGTAACATTTCATTTAAATCATGTATAACATATAAGTTATCCCAATTATATAATTAATTTTTATTTATGTCATCGATTTTTCTATTTCACAACTGAAATATTGCAAGAATTAATTAAATAAAGAATAGGATAATGATCAGTAATAAATAACCACACAACTTCCAATTAAATGCCATAATAGACAGTATAATAATTATTGTATTGCTTTTTTCTGTTACTCTTATTCAAATATTTTTATTGGTTACAATTGTATTTTGATACAAGGAACTAAATCATACAGATCAGTTACATGCTTTTCCTGGTCATTTATAAGACCAATATTAAAATATCCAAGTATAACAAATGATACTTTTTTCCTTATTCAGCATAACTAATATTATATTATCCCCCCAGTTGTATAGAATAATAAAGTCACCTAGTGGGACTAAAATAAGAAAAAAACAATATATATATATATATTTTTAATTTTCTTAAATTGATGAGTGAAGGACAATCTACCAATGCCTTTCAAATCTTTTACAATAGTCTAGGGAAAATACACAGACATTTGATATCTTCATTCAAGTAATAATATATTTCAAAAGTATCTCCTATAAAGGAAACAGTTTATTAATAGGATTTAACAACAGTCGAAATGGGTGAATTTTCAAAGTTTATCGCTAAAATTTATAGATTTAAAGTTAATAAGACGTGGATGAATATATTTTTATCTGTGTGTGTGTGCAGTCATTTATGCATCACTCAATGACAACAGCAACAGAAAACTCGATCTAAAGTAGCTTTTTATGGATGACATACCCAACAAAATTATTTTGTTTATAAAAACACCTTTAACATGACACCCCTCGACTGACAAAGGTGGTAGAATAGACATAAATATTTGTACATTAAAATTCTATGACGGATCAGCTCTAAAAGTCAATGTCTGATAAAAAACGAAACATTTTAGTTCCATGTCAGCCAACGCCCCCAATAACCAAGAAACTAAAATTAATTTCAAATAAATAATCTTTTTTGTGTCTTTGTGTAAAAGAATATGAATAGGGGTCTGTATGGCAGCATGAAGACTTGTCTAAACGCTATATATACCAATTTATACCAGGAATAAAACATTTTAAAAGTATACTAGTGTGTTTGGTATTTTATAAAATACAAACCATTCCAAGGTAACGTTTGTCATAAACGTCAATGATTAATTGATACTGAAAACAAAGAATCACAATATGTATTGATCTATATTATAAAACGAATATCCTAATCTTTGCAATATGGTACATAGGAGAGGTATAACGCTCTTAGTATGCATTCTCTTCTAATCAGCACCTGATGAAATATTTTGTATTTTGATAATGCCTCCAAAGAGATGTAGCGTACAGTATTTTTTACCTTGTTTCGTTAGTAATATTAATGTTTCAAGCTCACCAAGAATTTTTAAACATTTTCCCACATACAGATTTTGTTGTTTTAATAACAGAACGCAGAACAAGGAAAGTAAGTTAATTTCGTCTAGTTGTAAAGTACAATAGACTTTTTATAGAAGAACATTAACCTTTTTCACTTGTGGGTCAAGTGAAACTTGCGGACATATAATTATTTATTTTCTATTGGAATAACCATCAGTGACGTGGACATACATATGTACTATAGAATCTTGTATTTAACGCTATGTTGTCTTAGTCAATTTCAGCAGAAGCGTGGCAAGTTCTTTTACAGCAAGGAAAAGTTCCGTTCTCTGTTAAGTGCAATTGGCATAATTTGTTTTTGTAAATAAACATTGACTTTCAATTTCAGAATATTGTATCCATTCTCATTCGTCCTCAGTTAAAATTAGAATTCAAGTATACTTTGTAATATATTTCCTGATCAAACCTTTTGTTTATTGAATATACTATCTGAAAGCTAAATATCACAGAACGTAATATGAGACACATCTTGCAACAGAATATCTATATATAATGTTACAGTGCTGTAGCATAAATATATAAAATACTATCCCACTTTGTCATGAAGGGTGACAGACTTTTATACCCCCCTGACGTCTATCATATAAATTCAGAGGGTGCCCACTCTGGATGAAAAACTGACTAAGTTCAACAACCTGAAGACATTTCTGCAACAGTCTTAAAATGTGAAAAGAAGGCCGGTTTCTAGCTTGAAAGTATAACAAGTATGTTTATTTTAAAGACAGCTCTTACCTCTTAATTTGAACTAGTAAACACTTATTATATTAGCATGTTCAGTGGCATAAGAAACTCAGGTGTAAATATAGAAATCCTCACTGAGGTCTGGTGTGCATAAAAATGAAAATACTTGTTTACTTTACATACAAGATAATTAAAAATTGTTAATTTAAAAAGTGGAATAAGGATCGTCAAAAAAGAACAGAAACAAGTTGAATCAAAGTGCAAGGATTATTATATAAAATATAAACAAACAAGGTTGGAAATAGTGTCTACGTTATTTGTCATCATCAGGTACAAAACCTTGTCGAAACGTTGTACATTTGCTGTTATGTTAAACTTATATTAAAGTTTTTCTTCATTACCCATTAAGCCGTCTCCAAGCAGTATTAGTCTCAAAGTGGGTTCCTCGTCATTGAATACTGTTGAGATGTTACCATTTATAGTTCAATTATACATATGTATGTTTGTCAAGCAAACACATGCAAATAAAAAGGGGGACACGTTTTCCCCGATTTTTTCTTGCGAAACTTACCCACTTTTACACTACATCTTTGCAACGTCTTCCCTTTTGTATAACTTGGTTATGTTTTCAATAACCCACCTTTAGATGGTTAACGTTTTTATTCTAACTTGGTTGCTTTTGTACTAGTAAAATTTTTTGATCAGATATCACTATTTTTTCTCCATAATTACTTCAAAATGAATTCAAAATAATTGAGTATGATTTGAATCCCAGCTAACGACATTGATGCAGCATCTTAGGACACTAGCTACGGCATTCTCTCATTTAAAATTGTCCTTAAAGTGATCAGTTTTAACCTAGTGATTGTGTAGCAATTTACCATTAAACTAATCAAAAACATATTTACAAAATATACTAATATATGTGCTATAGCTCTCAAACTAACAGTATTTTTTTGTCCAAATTTGCTTCGTGCCGGCCCTCCTTTGTTTACTAGATGTTTCCCTCCCCAGCCAGAAGAAGAAAAAACATTTTATTGATGGTTCTTTCTTTTAACCTAAAACAGTTATGAAACTGCTTTTTTAATGTGATATAAAATAGTTTAGATCTATTTAGAAATATAAGAATAGTGACATTCCAGTATTTGGAACAGTTGTGGTAATACCCCAGATTTGGCCAAAAATTTAGTCCTGTATATAGACACGGCAGTTATTTCATTCTTTTAACATGGGTGAAGTAACTGCTGTTGGTTCAGACAAGGCTTTAAGAGAGCTATTAGCACTCTTTCTTTTTTTCAGAATTGTTCATTTAGGTTATGCTAATAATCTGATTTGAGATCGGTGTTGCAAACTGCTGTAACATGATCTGCAATACTATTCCCAAAATTTGATGGTAATTGACATTTTATACGGCAGATAGAAACAACTAAGGAGAATCTCATACAGAGCAGGCCGTAAAGGAAGACAATCAAGGCAGCTATCTAGAGTTCCTTACTATAAGGGACGTATATATACATTTTTGTGTGATTCTTAAAGATGAAGCTACAAAACCCAAAAATATATTTGACCCATTAATAATCGTATCAGATCGTATGGTTGTACGATTTCCAACACATCGTTTATTGCTGAAAACGATGAGATGACCCACACTTTGTATCTTGCCTCGTGCTCTG